GAGTAATGAGCTGCTAAGCAATAGATTAGGAAATCTTTGCAGGTATATATGAGGAGTTAGTAGAGACCCAAGTTAGATGATTGACATTCACTTCTTTGGATGAACACAGCCAATAATTGCTTGAAAGAGAGATCACTAAGGAGGAGATTTTTGAGGGACTCATGCATGTAGGAAGGATAAAGCCTTTGGTTCGGATGAGTGTAACATATGATTTCTACAACAATTTTAGCATGTAATGAAGGAAGAATTTTTAAGTTTTTTAAGGACTTTGTATGAATTTGGGTCATTTGTTAAAATTTTAAAGTCCTCTTTCTTGGTTCTCAAACCAAAAGTGGAAGAGGCAGCTAACATTAAGGACTTCTGACCTATTAGCTTAATTGGGGTGTTTACGAGCTCATAGTGAAAATGCTGGCTAGAATGATGGCTAAGGTGATAGATAGGGTAGCCAGTGAGTGTCAACATACTTTTATGGAAGGAAGACAGATTTTGGATGCGACTCTTGTAGCTAATGAGGTTGTAAAGAGGGCGCTTGACGGGGTTGAGAATGATATTGTAAAGACTAAGGATAGTTGATTTCATTATTTTGTCTCTGTTTTTTTAGGGTACGACATCTATAAGATAGAAGATTTTGGACACGTCATAGATAGCATTACTGAGCTATAAATAATTTTATAGATGGGTTGGAACCCCTTGGTGCTTCTACTTTATTTTAATTTTGTACTTTTTATTTTTTTAAAAAAATATTTTTTACAACTAATAGAAAATGTATATTGTTACAACTTTTTTTTAGTTTATGTTATCTATATTATTAATTTTAAGTAGATTTCTAGAGATAAAGTAAATTTGTTATTAAGAGGTAAGAACTTAAAAGGGTAGAAGTCACTTTTACGATAGAAGTCACTTTTAAGGACGTAATAAGCATTCTATTTTTCAAATTATTAAACACTCAAAATAGAATAGGATAGCTAGAATTGCTTATAAATAGAAAAGAAGCAACACCAAACATCCTCTTGGTCATTTTCCATTTTCAGGTTTGCAGTGTTTTGTTCATTATTCGGCATCTTTTAGGTCGGATACACCATTGTAGGTGAAGGAAATAGTCCATGAGTTAGTTTGATGACCTTGTGTACTTGTTAATTTTAACCACTGGCAGTATAATTGTTGTATATATTTTCTTATCAAAATATAATTTTTCTATAATTCCCTTGATGTAGTGTAGGACTTCCATTTTTTCTCTTACCCTAATTTTTTCCTCAAGAGTGCATGTGCTACCTAGCTTTAACATGGTATGACTAGGTTAGTTTCTGCTCAAGTATTTAAGTAATAGAGATGCAGACGTTAACGGATGCATTCAGTTGTCGGAATACTGTTATTATTTTTTCTGGACATATTATTGATGTTGTTTGCTGGAAAAGACAATATAAAAAGTGTTGAGTTGCAGAAATTGAAAATGAACTTTCAGAAATAAACAATACCAAAAATGTTTTTGGAGAACAGAGATAAGAATCTAAGATAGACCCAAAAGGGCATGAAAAGAAAGTGTTATTTGTCTGTATTTAATGGAAAACATAGAAACAACTTTTTTTGGTATGCAAAAATATTTTTTAGGTTTTATTTTCCAAATTTATGTGTTTACATAACTTTATTCATGTGAACATATAAGAGTTGCATCTTTATGAAATAAGCAAAGCAACAAACACAATAGTTTTATAGAAAGAAAACACTAAAAATAATTTTTTAAACTTTCCTTATTTCATCATAATTTTTAAAGTTCTTCTCTTTATTGTTAATCATCTTGTAAAGCATTGTGAATGAAATACATATATATTTGAAAATTCAAAACTAAAAAACTTTTTCCATGTAACAAATAGAACCAAATTTTCTTCGAGTTTTCCTTCTAATTCTTTTGAACTCTTGGAAAATCTTGTTTTCTAAAATCAATTCTGTGTTTTCTGACAACTGGTATAATTTTTACCAGCCTTTTATTATATTGAGAAATTTTCAGGAAATTCCCAATTTTTCGGAATTGAAAGCACTCAAGTTTTTCTCTTTTGGCAAGCTTACCTAATTTTCTTTTTGTTCGTATATTTATTTTTGGAGAACATTTTCCTGTTTTTTTTCTTGGCATGTGAAATAAATGTCATGCTGTCTGGTTAAATTTCCTGTAAGTCTTGCATGTTGAGAATTAAAAAACATGATAAGAGTATTGCTGATTGGAATTAGATTCAAGATTGTTTTTGGCACATTTCAAGTTTTGATATAGCAGAACATGATGTTTCTAATTTTCATTTCAGTCAAGAGGGTCAACCAGAGATGGTACAGGAGTTCATGACAGCATCGTGAACCAGCTGCTTACAAAGGTTTTAAGCAACTTCAAGTAGACTCTTGAATGTTTCAACATCAATATGTTTGTCTTAGCCATTTGCCTTTGCTTGTGCCTCCCACTTGATAAACTACTTGCTTTTCAGATAGATGGAGTGGAGTCCCTAAATAATGTTTTGCTTATTGGAATGACCAACAGAAAAGATTTACTTGATGAAGCCCTTTTGAGGTTCCATCTCTCTTTCTCTCTCTAGATATATATGTGTATATACATATATATATATATATTCCTATCTTTCTCTTATTTAGCAGTGAATTCTTCCCTTGGAGCTAGATCGTGTAAGCAAGGTAGAAACTAAAAGCTAACCATATTTCTAAACCTAGTTAGAGCAGCAACTACATGGTGACGGTGTGGAACATGTGGTCATGTTCAAATAAATTTTTTGAATATATACGGTTGAAGATTTGATTCGGCCAAATGTATATTTACTCGAATGAATGAGGGTGGAACTCTTGATCAATATTTTCACACAATTTACTCCCTAGCTCGGAATAGAGATTTCAATGTGACTGAATCTTTTTCCGATGCCATGGATAAAGGTGCTTGGGTGGTGGAATTGACTAGAAATCTTAACAATTTTCTGGTGAACAATTATGTCAATTTATTCTAGTGTTTATCCAAGGACTATCTCTACTTAGGAATGAAGGAATAGATGAAAAATTAACATAGGAACTGTTCTGAAAAATCAATACTTCATCTAGAATGGCCTTCTTTGCGTGAGCAGTGGCAAGACAATGTATTTTAACTATAGATGATCTCATAAAAAGAGGAATCGTATTGATGAATTGGTGCTACTTATGTAAGAAAGTTGCAGATGGAGAAATCATCTACTTCGGTTTCATTTCTCTTTTCTTGTTTGGTCTGTGGTCTACAGTCTTTGGGGGTTAATTAAGTAGCAATTGGTTCTTATGAGAGGAGACTAGGTCTCCATGTGGTTACCTATGTGCTTATTTTGAAGGAATGAAATAGGACTTTCAAGGGCATATAATTTTCTTTTGATTGAACAAAGGATGCTGAGTTTCAACCATATGGTTTTCTTGATAAAGAATAACTCTCTTGATTTCAAAACTTAATTTAGATTTTTGACAGATTTTTAAAAGTATTGTATACTGGTTGCATTCTCTTGATACCTATATATGAAATACTAACTTTTTACTTTGGAAGAAAGATCAATATTATATGGAAAGATGCNNNNGATGCATGTACTTTTTTTTTAATACATGGAAAGATACATGCACTTATGTTGCATTTTTCATCATGAAAGCATATGTTCTTTGGTCTTTTTTCTAACCTCTCCCTGTGGTGAACAGGCAATAAATCTATGGATATAGTAAAAGTAAATTCTTTAACAATTTCTCAAGTATACGTCTCTGAAATTTTTTAATCATCCACTTCGTAGACCAGGAAGACTAGAGGTTCAAGTTGAGATAAGCCTTCCAGATGAAACTGGCCGTCTGCAGATTCTTCAAATTCATACAAACAAGATGAAGGAGAGTTCTTTTCTTGCTCCTGACGTGAACCTTCAAGAGCTTGGTATGTTCACCCCCGAATGATTGCAATAAATACAAAATTATTATCAGGCTTGTCTGGACCTTAAAATGTAAGTGTGGAATTGATGGTTCACATGTCGTGTAATGAAAAATATGAATCTTTAAATGTATTCAATTTAACATACTGTTACTTCAATTCAAATCCTTTTATCCTCCACTCTTCCTTGAAAGATAATTGGGACTAATCTGTCAAGCCTATGATTCATGAGTTGGTCAATACGGCCCGGATGTGATAATCGAGAGGGAAGAGGGAATAGAAGGAGAAAATTAGGAGAAGAAGTCTGCGAAAGAAAAGGGAGAGTGAGGGAGAGAGCAGAAGAATGATAGGGAGAATAGAATTTCCTTAGATATTTTCTTATGCCTTTCTTTCTTACAAGTATAAATATTTAAGGAATAATTGAGGTATGCTCTGTGAGGACAGCTGGCATTCTTGCCCATAATTGTACCTTGTACTAGCCTACAGCAAGCACAAAACTTAAAAAGCAAAAACAATTCGGAAAGGGTAGGATATTCTTACTGCTACACTTATTCTTTCTCCTTACTAACTTAACAGTCATTTCCCTTTTTCACCCGCACCATTATCGGTCTTGACATCTGTCCCTTTCTTAACTTGAACTTTTTTCTCAAGGTTTATGTCATGGGGTCCTCTTGGTCCATTATACCAAGTAGTTTCCTCTGGTCCCATATTCAGCCACTTGACTAGTCCTAGCTGGATGGGCTTGTGGTTCTCTGTTGCTATGTCCTTTCTAGTTTCATTGTGACTTGGCCTTGAGAATCCAGGAATGGCAAGCGATAATTGATTTTTGGTTGCTTCCCATCATATTTCTTCAGTATTGATACACGGAAGACCTAGTGGATCCTGGAATTTGTTGGTAACTCGAGTCTGTAAGCCACCATTCTAATTTTCTTCTCAATCCTGAAGGATTCATATTTGGAAGCCAATTCGAGTCATTTCTCAACTACTATTGATCACTGCCTGTAGGGCTGTACTTTGGGGAGCGTTTGATCGCTTTCTTCAAATGTTCTTTTCTTTCTCTTGGCACTCTCAAAGTTCATTTTTTGAGCTTTTACCAGTCTATCCCTCAAACCTCAATTCATCTGCTCCTTCTCCTTCATCCACCCTTCCAGCAAAGGAGATGGTTGCTGTTCCATGAGCAGAGGGGATGGACACTCGTATAAGGTTGTGAAGGGAGTAATCTTAAGGCTTGAGTGATAGGTACTGTTGTACCATCATTCAGCTAGAGCTTGGATTCCCATGATTTGGGTTTGCTGAATGCCATGCACCTCAGATAATTTTCAAGGCATTGGTTCACCCTTTTGGTTTACGTGTTCAATTGGGGGTGATAAGCTGCACTAAAGTGCAGCTGGGTCCCCATTATCTGGATATTTCTCCCCAAAAAGTACTGGTGGAAACCTTGTCCCAATCTGACAGAATTGGCTGTGGCATCCCGTGTGACTTATACATGTTATCAATGAATAGTTGTGCTACCTTTTGAGCTGATATGGTCTGTCATGGCAATAAAGTGCCTGTAGTTGGAAACCGGTCGGCCGCCACCATTATAGAGCCCTTCCCCTGCGATTTAGGCATCTATTCTATGAAGTTCATGGTAATATGATTAAAGGCTTGCCAAAACACTTCGAAGGGTTGTAAGAGGGGCGTATTCCCTCTGCATTTTTGGCAAATATCTT